TACTGGGATGAATGAGGAGATATCGCACTGCAAAAACACACAATACTCAGAAATGAGCCTTTCTATGAAATTCCTGAGTCCAGGACAGAAACAGACCCGGACTCAGTCCTTCAGCGGACTCCATCATGTCAGGGCATTACATCTACACGCGCATGAACCCGGGGTAAACGGAGACAGCAGCATCCTGTCAAGGCACAGATCCTGATTTATCCGCTGTCACTGATCTCATTCCTGTCCTGCAGACCAAACACGCGCACACACACATACACACACACGTGCACACACAGGCGAGGGATGCCTTTAATTTCCCATTAAAATGCCCTGGAACAACTCAAACCAGTGGAGGCAGAGTGTGTGTGTGTGTGTGTGTGGGTGTGTGTGTGTGTGTGTGTGTGTGTGTGTGTGTGTGTGCGTGTGTGCATGTGTGTGTGTGTGTGTGTGTGTCATGGTGTGTGTGTGTGTGTGTGTGTGTGTGTGTGTGTGTGTGTGTGTGTGTGTGTGTGTGTGTGTGTGTGTGTCACTGTGTGTGTCGGTGGCCTAATTGAACTGTGTGACAGCAGCAGACGCTGCCGTTAAGCTGCAGGGACGCCGCAGCTCCGGTTTGTATGTCAGGAGTCTGTGACGCCGCCTCACATCGCTCTGATAAATATTAATGGGCGAGAACGAGTGGACTGGGAGTTGAGTTATCAGGGCGGGTCTTCCTAATTGACATTTTACCTGCTGTATACCTTAACAGAGCCGTGAAGCAGCCGGCCGTGTCAGTCAAGCTCCTGCAGGCCAATGCTGCCCGTCGAGATCTGCACTCTGGCTCCAGGTTCATGAAAACACAAGCTTGTTTTCCCTAACGTGAATCTTTTCAAGCATCTGAAAGCTTAAACTCTGTTTAAATAACCAGTTCATGTAAATTCAAAATGTATCTCAAATTAAACAGAATTTATTATAAAAACCGGCATGTATTTCAGTAATTTGGTTCAAAAAGTGGAAGTCATGTACATAAAAGACTTAATTATTTATTTCTGTTTATTTTAGTGTTTACCGCTTACAGCTGTTAAAAATAATTATTTTTGTTTCTCAAGAAGTCAGGATGTTACCTAAAAGCAAATAAAAATTATTAAAGCTGATTCTTCACAAATTTCTGCATCAAAAGCTGGAAAACTGAGTGGAAGGAAAAAAGATGAAAGAAAAGTTTGCCCAGGCAACAGGAATAACTAAACCTGTGGAGGAATTGTGAAGGGAAGCACATTCAAGATGTTGTTACTCAGTGGTTCGCAGTAGTCTTTAATTAAAAGTAACTTTTGCATTTATTCAACAAAACCTTCGACCAAAAACATTCAATCTATGGAGGAACATGAGACAAGATGTTGACATGAAAATGAGCTAAAGGCCCTAGGAAAGGTGCAGGCTTACTGCCTCCAGTGCCAGGCTGCACTTTTTCCTTCCACTAAATGTTTTTTTATTAATAACAAGTCAGCTTGTTTAGTAGTCAAACATCTGCTCGACAATTTGTCAATAACATTACATTCTGGGATTAAAAATATTTTCCATTTAAGCCAGAATGATCAAAATGAACAAAACTTAAGTGATTAAACATCTCTAACTTATGAAGTGGATTCACTTCTGAATAAATGTTTTGACCCTTACAAAACTATTAAATAGTTTTAATAAAAAAACACAAATCTGTGCATTCAAAGTGAAAACTTTTTTCTCTCATGGCAGAAACATGAGATTATCAAACCGTTTTTCAGATCTGAGAGAAGATAAATCAATAGTCTCATTACTGAGCGTCACACACGCGCGTTCATCTCATCCATCAAAACACACTCACCTAAACACTCCGGTGGGCGTTTTTACTACACACCCACAACGTCCAAAACCTTTACTTTAAAAGCCTCTTCATACACAACAGCACAGAGAAAAGAAAAAAGAAAAAGAAGTGTTCCCGCTTATTTTATCTGAAAAACGACAGGCGGGTCGGGCAACAAACAATTATCCCAGGAGCGCGTTTGAGGGGAAGAGAAAAGATCGAAGATTGGGAAAACAAACACGATGATGTCATCAAAGCTAAATGGCAAGCCCGGCGTGTGAAACGACTGGAGAGTCTCTTCATATTTACTGTTGCTGGGATTTCAATACCAGCGCCGCAGGAAGCACATCCGATGTTTCTCTTTCCGCCGACCGATTCGCACAAACTGCTATCTCTATTTGATGGGAATCAAAGTAGGACTAAAAAGGTTAATGTACAGACAAACAGCGCTGAACAAACGGCGGCGGAGCTTATACGAAACGGCAGATAATTATGTTTGTGAAAAGGCCAGCGTTTTGGAATAATTTTTTTCTGAAAAGAGCAAATGTGACTCTGCGGGCGCTTTGATTAATGAGCGTTTGTGGAGAAGCAGCGTAGCGTGGGGAAACGGCGGAGAGGCTGCCGTCCACAGACAAAACACACAGATGTTGTTGTGATAGCTCCTTAGGAATACGCAGATAATTACTTTATTGATTGAACATTTAAGCTCAATGCTGCTTCACATTTAAACATTATACCTCTAAGTCCAACTGTTTGGCTCCAGAAAACAAAAACTGATTTTTATTGGGATTTTATGTGGCAGGAAAATAGAATAGTTTTGAAGTGAAGAAAAATAAAGACAATACTTTTTTTCCACTTATTCTTCTTTGAAAAATAGCTCAACCTCAGTCAGAGTGGACAGAAAGAATGTGTGATCTTCCGCTTTTTATCCTGCCTTTCATTCCCATTAGGATTTAATCGTAGACTTTGACTAGGCCATTCTAAAATAAGATTGGGCCTTTTATGTAAACCATTCTTTGTAGCTTTTGACTAGATGTTTACTCTCATCCTGCTGGAAGGAGAACCTCACTCCAGTGTCAAAACCTGCAGCCTCTCACAAGTTTTAAACACTCCCACACCATGATGCTGCCACCACCGTGCTTCACCTCATGTGTTCAGGTTGATTTGAAGTGTCAGTTTTCCTTCACACACATTGCTTTGCATGATACTAACCAGGTTTCCTGAGATTAAACTAGCATTTATCTCCACTTTATAATTTAGTTATGAACTACTTGGTTAGTTTATCCCAAAACTGCATATTTCTAATATATTTTCCTTTTTAGAGTTAAATTTATGCTTATCTGAGTTCATCTCTGTATAAATGTCACTCTGATTTTGAACAAGAGTCGCTTTCTCAACCTTTGGCCACGTTATTTCTGAATATTTGCTGCCCCCTGGTGGCCGTCTGCGACCACTGCAGGAGCCCCTTTCAGTCATAAATCAGCAGAATGGGTTATCACCAAGGTAACGGGCGACACAGAAATAAATAACAGTTTAAATTGTGGTTCCAATCGAAATATTGCCTACATACTCTCTATCTAAAGTGCTTTTTTAGTTATTTTTATAAAAATTTTATAAGTTCTGAGAACTGGAGTGAAAAGAAATTAATAAATTGACTTTGATCAGTGATAATAGACAAGTTCTGTTATTAGCACTAATACTTAAATTAACACAACATTTTAATAACTTAGCTAAATTTCATAATATATTAATTTAATGTTTGGATAAGATACGTTCCATCAACTGTTTTCACACATGTAAACTGCAGTATTTACTGAATTATTCATTCATTCATGTAGTTTTACAGTGTAGAAAGAAATGGTTAAAGTGCCCGGAAATTGTAATCAAATAAAAGTAGTACTACTTCAACGTACTTTTATTCAAGTAAATTAAAATGTAGCAGCCCAAGTAATTACTCGAGTAAAAAGGCTACTAATGAATCATAACATCTGATTTAAATTTTAAAAAAAATATGGTACAAAAGAAAAATCTAACAAAGTTTAAATTCTGATGTTTTATGGACAAAAAATAAATGAAAATTCATACAATTTTAAAACAACTACTTTTAAGCAGAATAAGCTCTATTCCTAATTTTAAGTTTTTCCAAAATAGACTTCCCGAAACTAAATTTTGACATATTTTATATGTCAAAATAGGGTGAAGAACTTCCTGTGACGATACTTGTCGTTTGATCACAAAGATTAGAGTAACAACAAAAAAAACTCTCACATTCATATAAATTGTGTATGTTTTTGGTGTTTTTTTGGTTAAAACATGTTTGTTTTTATTAAATTGAGTTACTCAAGGTGAGTAGAGTATCCAGACATATTATTTATGCAAGAGTAGCAATACTTTATGATACTATTACTCCAGTAAAAGTACAAAGTATCGTGTACAAAAACTAAAAAAAAAAAACTACTCTTAAAAGTTACTCAATTAAATGTAACTAGTTGCCACGCACCTCCGGTTCAAAGTACTTTTTAAATAAAAACATATATATTTTATTTATTTTTTATATATATAGTGACAAAATACTTCTAATACTTCTAAGCTCAGGTCCTTCTGCTTGACTTCACATCAACAGCTGATCTGTTGATTGCTTTTTTTTATTACTGATCAATAATTTGACAGCAAAAGGTGTTGATATGAGATTTTCTCTACAGAATTTGAACCAGGTGAAGCTAAAATGATGTTACTTGAGCAGCTTTGGGGAGAACGTTTTTACAGAAAAAGAAAGTTTTTCAGTTTGAATGCAAAATGTGTGTATTTTTTATCCAATTTTGGCCTAATTACTGCTCTGACTATGCTGTTATTTTTAGCAAGTGGCCTTTTCTCAGTCGATGACTAGATTAGTTGATTTTGATGATCGAACCATCACGATTAATCTGATTGTTTCAATCCAAGAAACTTCTATTTTATTCTAAATATTCACCTGGTTGATGCCTATAAATTTGGTTGAGGTTCAACTTGCTAACAAATTATAGGTGAAAGTGTGTGTATACACTTCATATGTTGATTTAAAAAACAAAGTTCAAGCAGAATTATTCTGCTAAACAAATGAATAAAACTTTAGACAAGCAAAACACATAATCCATGCAACTATTTAACATAATTTATGGAAACAAACGGATTGGGCTGAATAAATGGTAGTGCTCACCGTGAAGCGCTCTGGGGATTCGTAGCTCTCATCGATGTAGACGCGGGCTCTGCTGTAGTCCTTCAGCTCCTGAGCGGCCATCAGCTCTCTGACGGACACACACATCCACACACCGATAAACTCCTAAACCGATGGAGCACTGATAACGGAGCAATGAAATCCCATTTTACACAACAAACCAGAAATGACGGGAAGTGGCCACAGGGGGGCGTAGTCCGCTCAGTTTCTATCAGCTGCTCTATTTTAGACCGTGAAATCAATTAGAGCGGATAATAAACGACACACTTACTTGACGAAACGTTTCACCTCCGTCACGCCTGACTCCAAACTCTTCCCACCGCACTCCTGACAGTGCAGTGCCAAGAAGGTGGGCTTCTGCGCTTTTACTGTCTGCAATAAGAAGAGGAAAAAGGGAAGAAGTTGGTCAAAAACGGTTTCATTTTATTGTTTTATTCTTTTGGCATCTATGAAAGCAGAAATGTGTTGAGTCGTTGTTTCTAATAATCAAACATCTCCGTTTTGATCTCCTGTCTCCTATCAGGGATGCTGCTGCAGCTGTGTTTATGCATGAAGGGTGTGACTGACGATCAGACGTCACTTCACGCCAACAAGGCGGCGGCACCGTAGAGTTTCCAGGTTGACTCGAGCAAACAGAGAAGACATAAAATTCATTTTCAAGTTATCTGTACTTCATTGTTTTAAGGGTTGAATAGCCATAAAATAAAAACCAGCAATGGTTTTATAAAGAGATTCGTGGATTTGCAATAGACTAGGGATGTCCAAAGTGAGGGGCGCGGGCCATTTGCAGACCTGGGAATGATTTTACATGGGCCACAATATTAATTCAAGAATGTTTTGTAATCTATTTTCCAAGACAAATTTAAATTTTCTTAAAAAATAAGTTTTTGTCTTTTATTAGCTATTTTCCTCTTCTTTTTCATAGTAATGGGACAACAGGAAACCAGGGAGACTGTTTTTATGTTTCCACAAAGGCTAATAAATCCATTTTAATATAAACCTGACTATGTTACTGTTAAATGTACAGAATTATCTTTGTGTTTTTAAACAAAAATAATAATAATTCACGACCCAGCTGTGCTGAGATTTTTAGCCAACATAGCAAAAACGTTCAACGCTACTCCTCAAGATGGATTGAAAACAACAATTTACTTCAGGAAATCGTTGCTGAAGTGTTTCCAATATGCTTCTTTTATTCACTATGAATTGATAAGGCTAATTTAAAATGACAAATATTTAATTAGGTTGTAGTCAGGGCCATATGTTAACCATTCCAGATGAGTTATTGGGATTATTGTCCTGTTAAAAAACCAGATTTGACCAAATCCCTTCAGTCAATGTTGATATAAACCTGGTTTAACTTTGGACTGTAACACAGGAGTAGCAGAAGTTTCCAGGTCAGGTCAGCTTTGAGATTTGGTTGCTCATCGCAACGAGTTTCCACTGAGATGATGTCAACAGTTTGACCCAGAACAAACCAGAACCAGAACAGACGGTTGAAGCTTTGACAAAACTGGGGGTTCTTACAGCACAATTATCCCGTTTTGATTCTGAACCCAAAAAAGATAAAGATAAACTCTGTAAAGAATGGGATGGACCGGGTTTAGAGTTTGGGTCTGTGTCATTTTCACAACTCTTTACCATTCCAATCTGTCCCAATTTCAGCCACTAAATATACACACACCAAATCCTACCAAAAAAATAATAATAATAATCCAATCAGCCCTTTGCAACTGGACTTTTGCAACGATTGCTGCAATTCAATACATAGAGGAAACCAACCAGTTGAACTAGTGCAACTCCTTCACTTTACTATCAAAGTGTTTTTAATGTCTACTTTTGTTATTTCTGACTACTTATCTTGTCTACTATGACAGTTACATACCATAATAATTATAATTGCATACCATCAAGTTGAAGCTAGGTGAAAAGTAATAATTTAATTAAAAATCAAAGAGAAACATCATGTAATAAAGTGTCTTTGTTTAGAAAAAATCAGCGATTAGATCAAATAGTTTTCCTGTGAAGCTTTCTTCCATGATCCCAGATTCATGGTTTTCCCTTCGGAGAGCTCGCCCCGAGTCACATGACCTCATGTCGCTTCCCGCTTCCACTCAGTGAGGTGTTTGTGAACGGCGTGTCAGAGGGGCTCGCAGCCGCCGACTTCTAATGGAAAATCAATAGCATGGAGTGATTTACAGCGCTCACAGGCACTCACAGGGGTCCGGCCCGTGGACGGCAGGCTGTGGACCCCCCTATCATATAAAGGTAATGTATGGCGGTGCTGCTATAGATTTTCCATCAACCTATGGCTTGTCACTTAACTGGATGACCCAAAAGCGCCGACCTCAAATGGCTCAAAGTTGGAGCCATTTGAGGTCCTATCAATCTGACGACGGGAAAGGTCACAAACCCAAGCAGCTCACAACTAATGTGATATGAAGGATGTGTGTTTGTGCTCTTGTTTGTGTTGGACCTGTTCTGCGATACTTATTAACCTACTGAAGACAGATGGGCCTGGTGGGAACCAAAACCCCATCTTAATGCGGCGCTAAGAGTCCAGGGTTAAGGAACAGAGTGCTTATGGTTAAAGTTAGGGGTAGGCATAAGTGAAGTTACCAATATGATCAGAGTAAGGGCTGAAACGATTAATCAGATTAACAGAGATTAATCAATAATTGAAATATTTGTCAACTAAGCTAGTAGAACAGATTCACTTAAAATAGATTTTAAAAAAGGCAATTTTCTGAAAGAACAACATATATATAGTAG